ATATATATATATATATATATATATATATATATATATATGTATGTATGTATATATATATATATATATATAAATATATATTCATATATATATATATATATATATATACATAGCACGCATGTAGGCTCTTCACTGTTTATTGCGGCTGCTAACATACGTTGACATTCCCTCCTTCGTTACAGGATGTGCTACGGCTTTTGTCATCGCTAGTGGAGATGTTCGGTACTTACGGGCGCGTTCCTCGTTCAGAGGTGTTGCTGTCCAAACTGCTGCATTTGCCGCTCGAAGCCTTCTCAACGCCAAGCACCAGCACCATACATACCCACACACACACACAACCCTCCACACAAACCCCTACTTCCAAGCGTACCAACACCCACGCTGATACCAAGGCAAGCAAACGGCGGCGATTGAACCACACCCCTGCACACACCTCTAACGCAACAAGGCCTTCTGCGGCAAATGCGGAGAGTGCACAGTGTGCGTTTCTGGTGCAGCTGCTGTCTGTACTCGCGCGAGTGACCGACATGCCAGCACATGGCACACAACGACTGTTGCGACTGCTGTGTACACAGCCACAGGCGAGTGCGTCGATTGAGGCGGCGCTGAGTCAGATGCTCAAGGAGACGGGTGGGTGAGGGGTGCTTGTGGTGCATAGGAAGAGTGTTGTGGCGCATAGTAAGAGTATTGTGGTGCATATGTAGAGTGTTGTGCTTTATATGTTGAGTGTTGTGGTGTAGATGTTGCTGATGAGTGATTTGTTGGCTGTGTGTAGTTGTAGGTACGTATCTCGGGTGCTGCTGTGGGTTGCGCTCATATGCGAATGGTTTTGGTAAATGTAATGAACACTATTCACGAGATTGTTTCGTTGCTCTCCCGCACCGAGATCACAACACCAAACAGCATGATTGACTTTCGCTTGCCCACACCCCAATGGACCCCTACACCCAACGGCATAAACTTGGTTTATACCTCGACACATAAATCACTCACACTATCTCGCTTACCCCGTGGCTTCCATCTACAGGCGACCATGCCCAGTACCGGTTCGCCTTCGTGGCCGTTGAGGCTGAAGCGAATTGGTTTGCGCAACTGCTGCACAGTGAACGCACATCGGCTGAGGGTGTGCACGTGCTAACCACGTGCACACGGTTCAACTACGACTGTGTGCGACGACTGGAGACCTCGGTTCTCGCACGGGGGTGGGTCTTGTACGGTTTTGATACGTGTGTGTACATGGCAATGTGTGTAGGTGTGTTCGGATATACGTATAGTATATATGTAAATACATGGGAGTGTATATATATATATATATGTATGGTAAATATGGATACACAATTGGAAGGTGTTTGTGTATGTTTGATGTATGTATGGTACATATGTAAACACATGGGAATGTGTGTGTACCCATCTGTTGACGTAGGGCATTGAGCAAAGTTGGCTAATATATCCGTATCCTCGCCACATACCATATATGCTAACGAATTAAAATGTCCGTGTACTCTCCATATATCTTCGGAAAGGAGGACATCAACGTATTAGTATATGCGCTTCCTCTACCTATACCATCTAAGCTATCTATGTCCGTAGACACTCATCTATCATTGACAACACATGTACCTACTCACCTGTTAGTGTCTGCATCCGTTGCAGCTCAAGCCCCTCTCTGCGCAGTGAGTTGTTCAGTCCGCTGTGGTGTCAGTATCTCCATCACAAGGCTTTGGCAGAAAGTGCGATACCCGACCACGTGTTCAACACCCTCCTCACAGCGGTCACGCAGCGATACATGCAACGAGACCAGCCCGGTATGTGCACTTACTTGAATGTACGTGTGTCTCTACTTATACTATATATATATATGTATATATATACACACACAAATCTATATATATATATATATATTATGTATATTACATATATATGTGTATATATATATATTTACTATATATATATTTACATATATATATATATATATATATATATTATTTATTTATTTATTTATTTATTTATTTATATAAGTATATATATACATATATATATATATGTGTGTGTGAGTGTGTGTGTGTGTTTATATATGTATATGTATATATATATATTTATATATATTTATATATGTATATGTATATATATATATTTATATATATTTATATATATATATATATATACCGAACAACCCTATATTTGTATACCTGTGTATTTGAAATATTTGTCGGAGTGTACATCCGTGTGCTGAATAGAACATGAGAGTCTGTCTGTAGCGTCCGGTTGCATATGTTCGAGCAAGCCTATAGCGATTGTGTGTACTCTATTTGCGTTCATGATGAATCTGTGGGTGTTTGTGAGGTCAGTAGTCGGTTGCTGGGCCGTATGAATATCTCTCTCACTTGCGTCTCAGCTAAGAAGCTATGAACCCTAAAGTCTAAACCCCTAAACCGTAAACCGCAACTATACTTTATCCCGAATCGCACGGGATACTCAGATCTAAGCGATGCCGATGCTCAGCTCTTCAGCCGGCTGGTGGAGAACGCACTACTGGACGAATCAAATGCACGACATGCTGCAATCACTGCGATCCTATTGGCGCAGTTTAACCCCGACCAATCAGAACACGCGGTGAACCAGTGGGAGCTATTGGTGGGCTATTTTGCGGTGCTTGTAGCTTCAAGGGGCTGTTCAGAGGCTTCTGTACTCGTGTGTGAGAGAGAAGTGCTGCGTGTGGTACTAACCTGTACGAACGCGTACAGCCACACAACAAACGATACGACACTGGAGATCGCATTTCGGTAGGGTTTTGGAGTAATTTACGTAGTGAAGGGGTTGGTCTTGGGCTATTTGCGTATTGGGCGTTTACGTATAGGTTATGGTTCATTGTGAGCAGATTACGTACGATTTATGATATCTCATAACAGTACGCGTATGTATGCTAAGGCAATCTATTGGTGTGGTGTAGGGGCTATAGTGGATGGTCATTGACTATCGGTAGTACTACTCGATGACAGTAGATCACCAGTACATGTGTAGGTAGACAGGCTACTATGTTGTAAATTCAAGCTCACTTCTCTCGGATAAATATAACAGGTGCTATCATATATAGTTTGGCACATTTCTTGGTGGGCATTTTCCCGTGTGCGTATTCATATGTACATAGAGACAAGCCCACTCTTAATTGTTCATGTAGTTGTATGTGTGCACATACACACACACACATATATATATATATATGCCACGGGAGCGTGCATGTGGCTATGATTTCCTAGTGGTATATCAGAGCTATCCACTAATATGTTTTCTGTGTTCTCTACTAATACGTTTTCATTAATTCCCACAGGGCTGTGCAATTGGCTACACAATGTTTGGGTAGGCTGCGGTTGCAGTCTGGAACGTACGTTGCGGTTGCCATGGCAACAGCGCGAGAATCGCTCGTGGACTCGTTGGTTATTAGCCAACCGGATCTCTCAGGCGACCACGTGCGCTGTGCACACGACTTCATTCGACACTCTCTCCCACAAAATGCGGATAAGACTGCGGTTATAAATAGCAGCCAATCAGATGGCGGGGTTTTGACCAGCTTCGGAGCCATGTACACGCGCCTGCTACAGCACCCGCAGTTGCAGCACGCGCTTGCGCCTTCGTCTCTGGGTGTAGAACGGGACAACGGTCCTAAAAACAGGAGTGGAATAGGACATATTCCTGAAGGCACACGCATGGCACACACACACAAACGCACCTCATCGCTCAGACGTAAGTCTGGTGCGGTCAGGACGGCAATGGGCACGGCCACATCCGAGGACGATGCAAAGGTACAGGCATGTGTTGTGGTGTTTTTGTGTGTTACATGTACGTATACATACACATGGATGTATTTACAACGCACACTGTAACTGTAGAATCTATGGCCTAGATCATATTGCAGAGTTCTTGTCGATATCGAAGAAAAGTGTATCCCCACATGTTATAAATACTGCATGTATTTACATGAGTTTGCCTTTTCTGCTCGCAGGCACGCTTGATCTCACGCTCGCACGCTCGTGCACACACATGCACTCACTCACACCGCTGTACTTGTCCACCCACGCTATCTCACCCACGCATATATATATATATATATATATATGTATATATTATTTTCTCTCTCTACCTCATCATCTAGTTGCCAAGCATGATAGTTTATGTTAAGAGTAGGCATCTCAACTTCTATCTCATAGAGCACTTCCCGCCAGTTCGATACTCGTGAAATACTTTATTTGTTTTAGGGTTTTAGGGTTTAGGGTATGGGTCACTCCAATGGGACAGCAAAGCGCAGTTGCTATGTGTTGCACAACTGTCTGTGACGACATGATTGAATGCTGGAACACGCATTACACATGCTAAACCCTAAAACCCTACACCCTAAAACTATACATGTGCATACTACTTCTAACTATCGCTTCTGCACACACACACACACACCTCATGCACATGTAACACCCTTCTGCTGACACAAGCATGCATTCCACAACACAACACAGCCCACAGCGTCTGCGGCCCGTGTGCCTGTGTTGGCCCTGGCTGTGTGTCTCGCGCGTGCGTGTGCTACGACTGATCTCAGCGCTGAGCAGCTGCGTGTCTTCCTGCCCACGTACACCGCAACACTCGCTCCCTCAGACCAACTGGTGACTCAGGTAGGGTTTAGAGTTTAGGGTGTGCTTCTTATAGGTAGGGTTTAGGGAGTAGTAACTTGACGCAAACAGGATGTAGACCAAGTGTCATGGGTATTGTTGCTCGAAAAATTAACGCCGTACTGCTATCCATCTGAACGTATTGCGTAGTTTTACAGTTGAGTGGCTGTTTTTATCTAACATGTTGGTGTGTGGTGGGGCGTCGTTTCCCGTTCAACGCGATCACTGCACCAACCGTAATCGTAGCGCTATATGTGACTGCACACTAACCCCCTTCATTTAGGGTTTCAATGTTTTAGTGCTTTAGGGTGTTAAGGTTTTAGGGGTTCCATGTACACGTGTGTTGTGCCCAACATAGCCCACACTTTGCGCAGCGATTTTGTTCTCAGACACATTGAATGCTCTTCTAGTTGTACAATGTCTAAATCACGGTTATGTGTTACCTTTGAGCATATACTCATACAACTCCTATACCTTCACACATGCATATATATATATGTCCTGTTTATATATCGATAGTTATACAACTCCCATACCCTCACTCATGTATATATATGACCTATTTATATATCCATAGTCATACAACTTCTATACCTTTACTCACGCTTATATATGGCCTGTTTATAACCCATAGATATCCTACTCATATCCATTCACTCATTCATATGCATATTATATGTATACATTTCTATACATGTCATATGTATACATTCATATACACGTTATATGTATATATTCATATACATGTTATATGCTTACATTCATATTTATATACATGTCCTTTTTATGTACCCCTATCAATCATACTTATATTAATCGTACTGTACGTCACATACATCTCAACTCATACGTCTCCTATTTTCTCGAACACACCACAGTTGATTCAACACTATGAACTACGTGGCATCAGCTTAGGCCACATTGCGTATGTGTGGGGTAGTCAGTATGAAGATGCACGCGCCTTTGCCGACACCATGGGCCAAATAGGTACGATTGTGGTGAAACGTAGGAGTATCATGCTTTCTTTATATTGGAGGGGTATATACATATATTTATATATATATATATATATCTATATATACATATACAAATAATGTATATATATATATATATATATATATACTATATATATATATATATATATATATATATATGTATNTATATATATATATATATATTGTGTGTGTGT